TATCCAAAGTCTCAAAGCTAGGAAGCGAGTGGAAGAGTTCAGCTTTAAGCCTAGACAGATGTTTGACTCCAGAGCCAACGTCTGCATACAGCAGGCACCTTATTTTTAGCTGCTATGTCAGGAAAGGAGGAGTATGTTAATGAGTAAAAGAAAAACAGTAAGTAAATAAATGAAAGTTACCTCTGGAATTTGGATCCCTTTGAAAATAGTGCCCTATGGCTTTTATAAGCAAAACTGCACAAAGTACTCGCTGTCCCCAGTGACTGTGAGTCACTGCTACAGAATGGAACAGACTGAAAATCCTTCATGCCCTTCCAGATCCCACAGTGAGTTTGTGCCCTGGATATGATTTGGATGTGGCCTGAGTTAATGTTTCCATCTCCCTTCCACCACAGGCAGATCTAGTGGGGGTAGCTAGCAACAGGCCTGATAAGATCGTAAGGGCTCTCAAGATAGGAGCGGTTATTTCTCTTCCATTCAGGGACAAGCCTGTGAAACGGGGCCCTACTGTCTTGATGCTATGCATAACAGAATTCCTTGGGTAGCACCAGCACTACATAGCTAGCAAGGTCTACCTTGTCCCTCTTAAACAACCTATTGCTTTCTTCTGCATTTAAGGTCCCTGCTGGGCCTAGGCCTCCTTTCAAGCCTGAGAGCATTTCTCTCACAACAGTGCCCTATCTCAAGCCATCTCCCCTACAGCTTGTGTATTTGATGCATCCTCAGAAACCTTTACCTAGTACGTACCTCCTCTTCCAACCAGGTGCTATTCTCTAGCCCTTCCCCACTCAAAATCCAGGAATTTCTTTCACATCCTCAGCCAACCCGTACCCTATACCAGTGATGGCGACCCTTTTAGAACTTTCAACGATACAAACAGCCCTCTGTAGCACACGTGCCATAGGTTCGCCACCACTGCACACCAACCAAGCCCCCTTCTGCCTGCCTCTCTCCCCACACTTCTAGTAGGAGCCCTTAACCTGCCCATGCCTGCTTTCTCCGCCGAGTCCCCTCACTTAGCCGGGCTCTGTTCATTCACCCATGCCTTCCCCCCAAGTGAGGTCCTCTCCCCCAGTCAGGTCTCCTTCCCTTGTCAGGCCGGCTTTGCCTGTATCCACCTATGCCGCCCTCGGGCAACCTTACCCAGCCAGTACCTCCTTCTGCAGCAGTCCTCGCCAGGCCCCTGCGCTAGTTTGTTACCTCTCCCTGGCCTGTGACCCTGAACTGGTAGGCCCTGTTGGCAACCCGATAGTCTCCGCCGGCCCAAACTGGTGTGTAAACCTGCACTGCCTCACTCTTGTAGGAACTCTACCCCGGCCCGGGCCCCTTCTCTGACCAGGACGTCTTCATCCACAAAGCCCTATCTCCAGGCAGGCTCCTTGACCCCACTTGACTTTCTTTGCCCAGCCGGGCCCCTCTCCTCATCCAGGCCCCCGTGCTATCCTGTGCCCTGTCCTCAGCTAGGCCCCCTTCCTCAGCCATGTGCCTTCACTCAGCCAGGATCTCTGCCTGGATCCTATCCGATCCCTTCCCTAAGAGCCCCTCTGCACCTGCTAGGCCTTCTCTCCCGGCCAGGTCTACTAACCCATCTCCAGCCAATGTTGTTCTCAGTATTCAAATCTCTCCCACTGCCAGCTTCCCCTTTCTGGCTATGACTCCCTCCCCGTCCCCTTCCCCTGCCAGAGTCCTGCTCTAGTCAGGCACCCCTTTCCTGCCAAGGTCTTCTCATACTCCGGGGTCCCTCCCTGCCGGGCTCCCTCCCTCAGCTTGTGTCAGCCCTGTAAACCTCTGCTCCTTCCACAAGACAGGCACATCCCCATATCCAGGCCCCTTCCCCAGCCTGACCCTTGTCACAGTGTCTGTCCTCCCCTCCTCTTAGGTTTGCTTTCTTGTGCAGTGCCCTTCTTCAGCCTGGGTCTCACCTGACAGCCTGTGGCCCTTCCCTCAGCCACAGGATGCATCCCCTGTTAACAGACAGGGACACCTTTCTTGTCTTTTGGCTCCAGCCAGTTCCTACCAGCTCTCTACGACACCCTGTTTGTTGTGGGTTTTTTTTGAGACAGGGTCTTGCATAGTTCCAACTAATTTTGAACTATGTACTGCAGGCTGGCCTTGAACTCACAGCAATCCTCCTGCCTCAGCCTCCAGAGTGCTGAGATTACAGGCATCGCCACCACGCCTGACTCCCCACTCTATTTATCTCTATACCTTCACAGTCAGGTCTCCTTCCCTACCTTGCTTCCTGTCCACAGCTGTGTCCCTTTCTTCTGTGTCTGCCTCCCTACTCAGCTAGGTCCCTTTCATAGTTTGTTCCTCCTTGCCCTGCCATTCCCCTGCCTGCCCCCCCCCACTAAGCCTGTACCCTCAGATGTCTCGCAGGCCCAGTCAGGCTTTGTTGTCCTTCCATGACCTTTCTGGGCCGGGGATATAGCTCAGCGGCACAAGCGCCTGCCTGGCAAGCGCAAGGTCCTGAGTTCGATTTCCAGTACCAGAAAAGAAAAAAAAAGAATATTAATCCCTTCCATGATCTTTCATAACACAGGACCTCTCCAGCCCGTGTCCCATGCCTAGCTCGGCCCTCTTCCCCATCTGGGCCCAATTCCCCAGCCAGGACCCCCTCTATGCCTATGCCCCCTTTCTGAGCCAGCTTCCTATGCCCAGCCAGGTTCCCTTCCCAAATCATGTCCCCACCCCAGCTCGCTCCCACCTTCTACGCCTGGTGGGTCCTTCACCAGACAGAATCCCTATCTAGTCCTCCTCCAGGCAGACCCTGTTCTCCAGCCAGTACCTCTTTTCCAAGAAAGCCCCTTCCTCCAGACCCCTTTCCTTATCAAGTGTTCCTTGCCTGCCACGCAGCTGGTGCCAACCATTTCTCCACTCACTAGCCATGGATCCCTTCAGAGTGTGCTGTCCTCCCGACCCCCACCAGCCTGGCCTTCTGCGCTAATGAATTTCCCCTTCCCCTGCTGTTCCTTCTTCTACAACCTGTACCTCTTTCCTGGTCCTGCCCACTTTCCTGCCCTATTACCCCCCCACCCCCGCCAAGACTTTCCCCAGAATGCATCTCCGTTCCCAAACAGCTTCCCCTCCCAAGCCATGCCCCCTTCCTCTCCTTATATAACCAGCCCCAGCTGGCTCACCTTCCCTGACCAGAAGCTCTTCACCACCTGTGTTCCTGCGCCCACCCCGGACCTTTACCCTTGGCAGGCGCCCTCCCTGCACCAGGCCTTCTTTCCCAGCCTGTGCCCTTTACCCTGCTGTCTGTCAAAACCCCCTACCTTAGCTAGGCTGATCCCCTCCCCACCTCTATGTACCCCCGTCAGAGAACACCTTTTCCAGTTTTAGAGCCCCTCATTAGCCTTTGCCCTTGTCCCCAGTCAGGCCTCCCCCCAGGCTTGCGCTGCAGACTCCATGTAGGTCCCCTCTTACAGCCAGGTTGACCACCCACGCTCCGTTCTCCAGCCATCTTCCTTCTTCAGCTTGTGTCCCCCAGCCGCTCCCGGTTTTCCTATGTCCCATTCGTCCTCTTGGGCTGCCCAGCCAGCCGGCATCCTGTTTCCCAGCCGGCTTACATCTCCACTCCCAGCCTCTTTGCCCTCTGCCTCCTCACCCTCCTCCTGCAGCTTGTTCCCCCTTCTCTCTAACCTCCCCAGCCCGTGTTCCCATCCCTATAAAAGGCTCTCTTCTCACACATCACCCCAATCCTGCCCTTTCTCCTTCGCCAGCTGGCTGGCTGAAACTTTTCTCATACACACATTTACCCAGTGAGCAATCTGGCAGGATTTTCATATTAGTATTTTGGGAACACCCCAAAAGAAAACACGGTGGAACTTCTTTCTCTCCTGCAACACAGGCCTGATTGGTAAGGTTGTGGAAGTGGGGGTTCCTTTTCAAACCCAGCAATGAGAATACCTTCAAGCAAAACCACTGCATGTCCTCCATTACTGAAACATAATGAAGGTGAGCCTCCAGAGAAAGTTGCTGCCTAAACCGTTCCCTGGGAAACACTGCACCCCAGGCCACCGCAAACTGCAGGGGCATTTCTCCTCCCCAAAGTCTGATCTGTTCCCCTGTGTACCTGCTCCCCAAGCCCCAGGAGTCAGTCCTTTGCTGAAGTAGATCCTGGTATACAAACTGTATATGAGTGAAGTCACAAATACAGAAAAATAGAGAAGCAGGGATTTTTAAACAGCTTTTATTTCTTAAGCAACTTGCATAATTTTTAAAAAGTTTCTGAATGGATATATTTTATTTTTTAACAGTTGAAATATACAAAGAATTTTTTAATGAATTTAATGCCACCAAAGCACAGGATCCGAAGATTAAAGAATTATTGCACATCATGTAACTTTTCAAATTCTTTTGGTATATTCAGTATACTGACAGATCTCAAGCATCAGATAAACTGTATTGTTCACAAATGCTTGTTGGTTTGTTTTTCTGAGATAGGCTGTCATTATGTAGTTCAGGCTGGCCTTGAACTATGAAGCCCAGGCTGGCCACAAACTCTCTCCTGCCTCAGCTTCCCAAGCTGAAATCAGAGGCATGTACCACCACACCTGGCTAAATTTGTGGTTCACCCAGTTTTGTTTTTTGAGACAGGGCCTTGTTATGCAGTTCGGAGTGGCCTAGAACTCACTATGTAGCCCAGGCTGTCCTTGAACTTGTGGCAATCCTACTGCCTCAGCCTCCCAAGTGCTGGGATCACAGGTGTACGCCACCACGCCCAGCTCACACTTGTTTTGCTTTGAGACAGGGTCTCTCTATGCCGTTCAGACTGGCCTTGAACTCACTATGTAGCCCAGGGTCGTCTCGAACTCACAGCAATCATCCTGCCTCAGCGTCCACAGTGCTGGGATCACAGGTGTATGCCACCACACCAGGGTGTTCACATTTTTTGCCTCCCAGTGGTTTTTAGTATAACAAAATAGATTAACTACTTTACTATTTCCTAAAGTTACCTTAATATTTTTTGTAAGAATTAAGGAAAATCACTAAGTTGAGATCTTTCAGATTTCATACAGTTGACATAACAAGGTGGATCAAGTTGAGTAAAGTCATAGTACTTAACATCTCTAAGAATAAAGAAAATTGACTAGATCCAGATTTTTACCCCTCTCAGTAAGTTCACTTATCTACCTATCAGTTTGTCTCTTCTTGCTTCACATCAGTTGTAGAGAGAATGAAATGCAACAACTCTTTGAATAAAGCCAGATCTCCTTGTACCTTTAACAAACTTCAGGTCTTTGGCATGTACAGTAAACTTTACCTAGCCTGTCAGTTTATGTAAATTTGCCTTTTATATTTATTGAACACTTACATTTGCCTTTTAAGCTTAACAATGCTATTCAGAGCTCAGAAAACACCTGTGCAACTAAAAGTAATTTGCAACCACACAAGTTTGAATGAAGAAAACAAAACCAAACTACGAGCAGAAGAACTCTTGTTCATAACCTCAGATGTCTCCTGCGTGGCCCAGCATAAAAAGCAAACCCAAGAACAGTGTGTGACGCTATTTTTTTTTTCAAAAGAACAACAGAAGGCGTTCAGAAAGCATATCAATCACATAAACGCCACTTTCATCTCAAGAATCCAATAAATTCACGGCGGAGTGTGAAGACGCCAAGCATTTACCGAAGTGGAGGCGTGAAAGCAAACATGAACATTTGCAGCACACTGGAAATGTTACGAGTTCTAAATCGGGGAGGGAGGCAAAGGCTCAGGGAAGGACGAACAAGCGAGACGGTATAAAGTGGGCAGCCCTCAGGCAGCGAAAGCAGGCATCCCCCTCCGGGTTACGATCCCGTCCCCTGTGGAGTGAAAGAAGCCGCAGAGAGAGGCGCAGAAAGAAGGTGTGGGGCGACGCCGCGGGGGAGCATTGTAAGTAAACTTTAATGACATTTTAAATGAAGCAGAGGGAAGCAAAGGAGCAAAGCGCGCAAGGAAACGGAGCCTACCGGGAGGCGCGCGGCGGCGGCGCCAGGAGCGCCGGCGCGGGGCCGCGGGAGAGGCCTAGAGGAGGCGCGGGGCCGGGCCGCCCGCCGCGCCGGCCTCGAGCGGCTTCACCGAGTTGTAGTGCTCGCCGAGGCTGCAGGCGTAGTGCAGGTAGACCAGCGTGAGCGGCTTCTTGCGGTACTCCTCCCCGATGAGCAGCGCGGGGGCGCTGGCCTGGATCACCTCGATGGGGGTCTGCAGGACGTGCGACAGGGCCCTCAGCTCCAGCAGGCCCCCCCACGCGCGGCGGCGCACGATGTCGTCGCAGTGGGCCATGAACTCCGGCAGGCTGTAGGCGTCGCCCGTTTCCGGGTCGCTGAAGAACGGCAGAAAGTCGTCGACGTGCTCGCGCATGTAGTCGGCGGTGCGGCGGCGCAGGCTCTCCACCGTCACGGAGAACACCAGCTGGTCCTGGACGGCGCGGTACATGCACTGGCTGTCGGCGGGGATGTCCTTCATCTCCAGGTACTTGGCCGCCAAGATGCTCGAGAGCTTCTCCTCCTCCTCGTGGCGGAAGCTGGCCAGATGCTCCATCTCGGCCACGAGGACCCTCTCCTGGTGCTCTCGCTCCAGGGCCTCCATTTTCTCTCGCCTTTTCTGTGCCCTGGAGACGTGAGGGTGCCGGTTCTCGAGATTCATCTTCGCCAGGTTTTCGGTGACAGAATCCACGGTGGCGCCGCCGGGGAAGTTCTCTTGGAACTTCTCTAACTCCTGCTGGTGCCTCTGCTCCATCTCAGCCTGGAGGCGAGCCACGTCGTGGCGCACCTCCTTTCTTCTCTTCTTGTCGCTCTTGGGGACCGAGCACTTCATGCTCTGGATTTGGGCCTCTAGTTCTTTCTTTTCACGGTGGTGGCGACGGAGCATCCGCTGCCGTTCACTCTGGAGATCTTCCATGACGTTAACAGGAGGCGAGAACCAGTATGGTGGCAGCTCACCTTAACGGTTCAAATCACCCAGCAGGCCACAGATCCTCAGCCTGGCCTCACTCAGGCGCTCTGTTCGCCTCAGCGAGGCTTTGTCTCACCCTATTCACAGCCCGGTCTACTATTGGCTACTGTCTCCCCAGGGCTACGCCCCCCCGGCAATCTGGCACTGTGATTGGCTGTTGGTAGACCCTAACTATGAGCTCTGTAACCCCCGTAGCAACGCCTTTCAGTTCTAACGGAATTCACATATCACTAGGAAGATCCTGCCCTTCTACAGCTTGTGCCGTAACTGGGCTTGTAGAATGTTTCAGTGAGACCTACTGCCTACTTCATTTCCAAGTTTGGACACATCGCAAGCACAGGCCATGCTAGATAACTGCGTGATAAATACTATACCATCAGCTGAATGTGCTCTGACCCTGGACTTGGCATTGCTCCTACTGTCCAGGAGGCAATGTGGTTTTCTCCAGTTTTTCAGGTCCCTTGACCAATGAGCCCTTAATCTTTGTGCATCAGAACAAAGAGAGTTCCTTATGTTCCTGGGAACAGAGTCCTTTCAATTTATGCCTCCAGCCCACCCTGCCACATCTGTGTAAAAAGGCAACCGTTACTCTTTTTTAGAGCTATTCACTCCAAATAAGCAGACCTCTTGGCTTGGCTTGTGCCAACAGAATTCGTCCACTCTACGCTTCCTTTCTCCTCGGTCCCCAGCTCCCAAAATCGGCTCTGTAGGATACCCAAGAAACACCACAGCCAATGTTCATCAAACCTCTTCTTTCTGATCATTTTTAACTTCTATAAGTTCTGAGAAGAAAGACAGCTCCAAGCTATTTTAAATATATACTCTTCCTGCCCCACCCCGCTCACTTATGTCTTGAACCACCAAATAAGACAGTTCTCTGGACAAAAGCTCCCCTTTACTACAGATAAGGAAAGTAGACATTCATGCAAGTTTGTTACATGTATCAAAATTTTGTTCCTCTTTGTTGAGAAATAGTAAGGATTTATTGTATTTTGTTTAACAATTCACTAATTGAAGGACAGTTGGTTTGTTTTCAGTTTTGAAGTACTATAAACCTGCGATAAACATCTGTATACAGTTTTGTGTGAACATAAATCTTCATTTCTCTGGGGGAAAATGTCCAGGAGTGCAACTGCTGGGTCATATTCAAAGTATGTGTTTATTTTTTAAGGAACTATTTTACAGAATGGTTGTACCATTGTACATTCCCACTTTCTGTGTGTGAGTGATCTAGTTTCTTTGCATCCTCACCATTACTGATTGTCACAAGTTTTTGTTAGCCATTCTAATAAGTGTATAGCTACATTTCATTGTGGTTCTAGCTTGTGTTTTCCTTGTGGCTAATGATGTTCGTCTTTTCATGTGTTCATTTGCCATCAATAACCTACGATTTTGTCTTCTTTAAAGTGTTTAAGTCATTTGCATATTTTCTGATTGGACAATTCTTACTGTTAATTTTGAGTTCTTTTATGTTTTAGATATGAGGTCTTTCTTGGATACGTGCCTTGTAAGTATCGTCTCCCAGTCTATAGCTTGTTTTTATCATCTTAGCAGGGTCTTTCTCAAATCAAAACTTTTTCATTTTGATGATGTAAAATTTATCAAATTGTCCCTAGATAGGTTGTATTGAGACAGGAGAGGGGGACCTGATACTCCTCAAAGACTGCTTTTACACTACAGCTGCCCCAAACACCACGGAGCCTGGCATCAGCTCTATCAGGCCTCCATGGCTGCTCCAAGAGATATTTGCTTTGTCTATGGCACATTTCAGTCACAGACCTATCATAGGTCACCCTACCTTGCAGACCCTCTGGGTAACTCATCCCTTTGCTGCTCTCCTCAGTCAGGTCTGCTAAGGAACCCCAGCCTTCCCCATGACCACTCTATATAAGGAAGCGCCTCAGACCAGTCATGCACTACTTCTAATAAAGTCTTTTCAAGTAGCATGTACCAGCCTATTCATGACTTCTGTCTCAAGTGGCTGGTGACTGAGCTACTGACCCTGAAGATGGCTAGCAGCCAGACAGCAGTGGAGAGTAACAAAGAACATCTAGAAACTGCCATCTGTAGTGACTGGAAGAGCCTCTGAATCCTACCATTACCTGCTTGCTCCAGGCAGCAAAGAGGTATGGTATTTATGTACAATTGAATACTATTGTACTCACTAAAACAGCTACTATCTGCTGGCATTGAAAGCTCAGGGCTGTTGACACTAAAAGAGCTACATTACCAATTTGTGATTTCTGTATGAATTGCGTAAGAACCCTTAGGTTTTTGGTAACATCCTGGAAGCATGTGTGTAGAGCGTCCCCTCTACAGGGCCCTGGGAAGAGGGCAGACAGTGGGGATGGGGGTTAGTGGACCCAAGAGTCAGCATGTGTCTGATTTCCATCTCACATGCACCTAAGAGTTCACACCAGTGACAATATTTTTAGTGTCAAGACTAAGAACTCTTTGTCTAATACTAGATTTCAAAAATGTTACCCTTTTTAAAGCTAAAAGATTCATAGCTTTAGGTTTGAAAGTTAAATTTGTGATGTACTTTTAAATTTTAATTTATTAGTACTTGTTTGTGATATATGACTACTTTCATTATAGGTATTTGGTACGTGTACATGACACATTTTAATACTTTTTTATATCCCCTTCTTTCCCCTTTCCCCCTCCTTTCATCTCCTGGTCCCCCTCCCAGTTGTAGTAGATCTGTTCCCCTGTATCTTTTAATCTATCTTGTATTTTGCTCTTTATTTATACTGTACTTTGGATTTCTCATATAAGAGAAATCATTTGGTATTTAAACATGTGTGTCTGATTTATTTTACTTAATATTAGTTTTTAAGGTGGATCCATTCTCCTATAAAGGTTCAAACGCATCTTTCTCTATAGCAGAATAGTATTCAATTGTACATAAATACCATATTTTCTTCATCCATTTGTCTTTTGATGGACGTACAGGTTGCTTCCAAGGTTTGGCTATTATGAATTGGGCTGCATGTATTGCTATAATGTGATGTCTTTAAATCTTTCAGGAAGGTATCTAGAAGAGGAATAGCTGGGTCAAATGGAATTTCTATTTTGCTTTTGATGAATCTCCATACTGATTTTCATAATGGTTGTACTAGTTTACATTCCCATTGACAATGCAAGAGGGTTTCTTTTTCACCTCAGCCATGTCAGCATTTGTTATTATTTGATTTCTTAATGACTGCCATTTTTTCTAAAATAGGGTGGCTTCTCAGTGTTGCTTTAATTTGTATTTTTCTAATGGACAGTGATGTTGAACATTTTTTATGTATTTATGAGTCATTTATATTTCTTCTCTTGAAAAGTGTGATTTATTTTAACTTTGCTTTTGTGTAAAGTTTGAGACTTAAGGTTCATCTTTTTGCCTACAGATGTCCAGTTATTGCCACATAATTTGTTGGAAAAGCTGTGCTTCTTCCATGGAGTCAGTTTTGTACTTTTGTCAAAAATAAATTGGAAACATTTTTGTGGTGCTATTTCTGGGCCCTTTACACTATTTCATTCATCTGTATGTCTATACTTTCACAAACAGGCATGATTAAGGTAACTTTGTAATAAGTCTTGAAATCGGGTAAAATATTCCTCCAACTCTGTCCTTCTCTTTCAAAGTTGTTTTAGCAATTCTAATTCCCTTGTTTGTCTATATAAATTTTAGAATATACTTGTAATGGTTGATACATTGTGTCAACTTGAGCAGTCTAGAAGCTTAACTAAGTAACTCAGTAATTCTACATCTTAGGGTGTAGATGACATACCCTTACCACTCTAGGATGTTGTTCATTGTGTCAATTTGAGAAGTTTAGAAGTTTAATTAAGTGACTCATCAGGGGACCAGGGTCCTCACTTTGTAAACATCCTGAGCCTGTGCAAGAGAAGGGCAAAGATTTGGTGTGAGTGCTACACCAACCTGAGGGTGGGTACCCTGCACACGATATAAGGGAGGAAAAGAGACTTGCCCTCCCACTTTTGCTCTTGTTGCTTATGCTGTCTTCTGCCAGCATGAATTGCTGCCCCTCTGCCATGCCATCCTGCTTTGGAGCCAGCTCATTATGGACTGGAACTGCCACAGACTGTGGGCTAAATAAACCCTTCTTCCTTTAACTTTAGGTGTTGGGTATTTTGTCTCAGCAGCAAGAGAAAAGTAACCAACACACTTGTTTATAGCGACAAAAAATCTTGCTGGAATTTTCATAGGAATTGTGCTAAAGCTATACATAAATTTAAGGAAAATTGAAGTCTTTACATATTAAATCTTTCAATCCATGAACACCTGTTTATGTATTACCATTTATTCAGATCTTCATTGATTTCTTTCATTAATACTTCACTATATAAAGCTTTCACTATATAAATCATATATATTTTATTAGATTTACTGTTATGAACTTCTCTCTTTTGACAGGTGATTATGAATTGTGCTGTATTTCACACAGGTTACTTGCAAGATTTGGCTATTATTAATTGAGCTGCTATAGACATTGGTCTGAATGTATTGTAATATGATACCTTTAAGTCAGGAAGATATGTAGAAGACCATTTGGGTCATTTCTAGTATGTAGAACTATAATGGACTTTTACGTTTATCTTGTGTTCTACGACCTTACTTAACTCACTTCTTCCTTTTTAAAATTAAAGTTATTGGTACACTTTGGATATACACAATGATCACATTCATCAGAGGGAATTTGTATGTGTACATAATATACTTTGATTCTTCTTTTTCCCCCATTCCCTTCCCCTTCTTCAACATTTCCTGCCCCCATTTATTAAAGCTTTGTTTCCATTTTCTTCCATCTATTGTTTTTTCCCCTTTTCCCTTCCTTCCTTTCCCCTCCCTCCTCCTTTTTCCCCTTCCCATTTGAACATTTTCTTCCTGCTTCCCAATATCAGTCATCCATTTTGGTCCTTATTTACTCTTTGGGTTTCACATACAGGAGAAACAACACAATATTTAAATATGCATGTTGAGGGCTGGGGATTTAGCTCAGCGGCAAAAGCGCCTGCCTGGCAAGCGCAAGGTCGTGAGTTCGGTTCCCGGTACTGGAGAAAAACCAAAAAAAAAAAAAAAATATGCATGTTGAATTTGTTTCACTTAAAATTATGTTCTCAGGGTCCATCTATTTACCTAAAAATGTCACAAGTTTATTCTCCTTTGTGGCAGAGTAGTACTCCATTGTATATAATAACTGCATTTTCTTTATCTGTTAATGGGCATTTGTTGTGTTTTTTGTCTAGATGTCCCCCTAAAGCCTCAATCAGTCATAGATGGTGAGTTTCAGAAGTTTCTGGACTAGAGTGTTTAATACTGGAATTAAGGGTGTGTGATTACTAAATCAGTCCACTGATTGATTTGGCATATTTCTGGGTGTGGATAATGGGAAGGCCCATCCTGGGTGTGGGTGGCACCACCCAAAGGGTGGGTAGCCTGGAAGGGGTAAAAGGGAGTGGCAGGCTGCTGCTTCACTTGTTGCTTGCTGCTTGCTGCTTTCTGCCTGCCTGCTCTGTAGTGGCCCTCTGCCATCCCACCCTGCCTTGGAACCAGCCAATATGAACCAAAACCTTTACAAACTGTGAACTACAAATACTTTCCTCCTTTAACTTTGGGTTTGGGTAATTGGTCTCAGCAATGACAAAAGTAACTAAGACAGCATTGGGGATGTTTCCAAGATTTATCTATTACAAATTGTGCTGCTATAAACACGGGTGTGCATATACTGCTGTAGTAAGATGCTTTTAACTCTTTTGGGAAGATACCGAGGAAAACAGCTGGGTGAAGTGGAACCTCTAGTTTTAGTTTTTTGAGGATTCTCTGTACTTATTTCCATATTGGTTGGATCAATTTATACTCCTACAAACAGTGGAGAAGGGCTCTTTTTTCCCCACAGCCATGCTAGCATTTGTTACTGGCTGATTTCTTGATGACAGCCATTCTTTCTGGAGTGAGATGTAATCTCAATGTTATTTTAATCCACATTTCTCAAATGACCAATGATATTGAATATTTTTTTCATGTATTTATTTGTTTGTGATTCTCCATCTGAGAAGTTGTCTTAGTTACTTTTTTCATTGCTAGGATAAAATACCTGATAGTCAAAGGAGGAAAGGTCTATTTAGCTCACAGTTTGTAGAGGTTTCAGTCCATA